TTTTATTAAATAGAGGTCTGACCACGTTAATTTAAAGACATTAACATAGTTATTATATTAATGTAATTTATTGTATGAGATATGCACCGTGTAATGATTTTGATAGTTATGATATTTAGTCAAAGCTATTCCATGAAACACGACGTATCCGTTACTGTCTTTGCGACTTATTTTTTTAATGTAACTTTTTAAAATGAAACTATTTCTTTAGTAATTTTATTTTAACTGCCTTTGTGGCCGAACGGTTACCATACTGGACTGCCACTCAGCGGTCCCAGGTTCGATTCCCGGGCCGAGAGAAATATTTGTATGGCGTACATTTATTACGTGTGATTTGTGGTTGTCTATGTGTGTGTTCATGGCACCCGCGACACAGGGTTTCCCTAGTGCGGGGCTATGAGTGTGTAGGCATTATCGCGTTATTTATTTATTGTCTATTTTTAATGTAAACAGCCTTATTTATTTGCTAACAATAATAAGCACCCCGACTTTAGTGTAAACAAAATAAAGAAACAAAAAGCAAATAAAAATAGAAAATCACCTAAAATGAAGTTGGCGTAGTGCTTAGTGGAGGTATCGATTTGTTTCTTCCAATAAACCAACGTTTCCGATCCTTCACCTTTTGTCCAGGGCAGTCTAAGAATCATCAACCCGATACGTCTAACATTAATGCAAACCATTACCGGTTTGGACTATATCATCACGCCTATCTGTCCGGCAGAGACTATGGACCTCCTCCTTTCACAATTCTAATTCTTCCGCAATTTCACCAGCATAATTTCCCTTCAAAACCAAACTGAGTAATGCTTGCATTACCGTTTGACGGCAGAAATAGATAAGGTAGAAGTACTTCCTGGACGATCTCTTTCTTTTAGTAGAAACTGAGTTCCTTGTGAAAGTAACTTTCAACTTATGTCTCAGGATGACGAGTACAGTGGCACTGTAACTGTTATAGATAGATAGATAGATTGGCGTGTAGCTGACCATCAGGCGTAGGACTTGTTCGTCCCGTCATTTGATGTTATTAAAAAAAAAGACAAAACAGTTCTTACTCAAAAATGTTAAATTATTTTGAAATATATTTGGCAAGTTGGAAATTGTTTACATATCTATAATAAGCTTTAACTGGTATATTATAAATTTTAATAGTGTAAATTCAAATTCAAATTCATTTATTCAGATAACTAGGATCCATAAGTGTTAGCAACAATGAAACTTATAATTAGGTTAGTACTTAAATTCTAGAACAGATTTTGTATTATTAATGAGATGCCGCATTGTGGGACACTCACACCTAACCGCAATTGTCTTCAGGAGGCTGTTACCGCTGCCACGTATTCTGTTCAACAGAGATGCTGATCTTTTGCGCAAGACTGCCATGAAGCTGGCAGACGCACTGCAAAACCGCGGTAGCCGCATCAGCGTCCTGAAGGCGTTATTGTATTGCGTGCGCATGGCCCTGAGCGAGACTTGGGTATAGCTGGCCCACAGAGCCCCCGCGTACAGTGGTGTGCAGTAAGCTCTGAAAAGAGTGACCTTCACCTCCACCGCACATCGAGCAAACCTGCGAGCCAGCATGTTCGCCCTCACCGACAGTGCCCTGCGCTCGCGTTCTATATCCATATTGTCCTTGAGGTCGTCGGCAATATAGTGTCCTAAATATTTGAAATGTGCTACTCTCTTCAATGGAATTCCATTGAGACTTATGGGAAGCACATTGTTAGGACTCTTCTTACCGGCGACCCCAAAGACCATATACTCAGTCTTTTTGACGTTGTACATCAATCATCAAGTTTAGTTAGTAATTCGTTTTTAATCGTTGTTAACTTATTAGACTATTGTATTAAAAGTGCAATATGTCCATGCTTACAAATGATAATTCAAGTTTTTGACTCTGTGTAGTTTTTCTGTGAAGTCGATTTGACCACGCATTTCCTACCATACCCACATTATAAATACGTATCACTGTTCAACTAACGTCCATCCTTTCCAGATGACCTAACCTTCAAAGCATTCTTTTCTAACGCGTAAATAATACATTTCGATTACCAAAATATGTAGCTAGATTTAGAAATTCGTCACGGAGTGGCAATTAGTGAACCATTCTATAGGTAGTACATATCTTGTTTCTCATCACTCATCCTCTCATGTCTCTCATCATACACCAATCAAGCTGAATATCAAAACCGGAAATTGCACCCTAAGTCGTAGCCGCAGCGTTTGAATTGTCGAAAACATACTTTGTATACTGATGCGAGGCTGTTAATACCGGACAGCTGTGAGTTTCGACAATAATATTTATACACTGGGGTAACCCAATTTTAAGAATCTACTATTACAAATGTAATACCAGAAACATGGCGTCGTCACGCCTATAGAAATATTGCTTTTTTTTTTTTTTTTTTTTTTTTATTGCGACTCGACAAAATGACTGCACCGCGCCTGATGGAAAGTGCGAATACAGTCCAGAGATGAGAGTAACGGATGGAAAACACAAATATCTTCACTCCGTCACTATCATTTTGCCGGTCTGGCCAAATGCACTGGATGTACACCAACTGATCCCTGAACGCGATTCGCAAAAGCGTTTCACTGTGGAGGGTTTTCCGCCGTGTGTACTGTGGTCGCTATCCAGTCGGCACAGAGCCTACCACAATGCTAAGCAGATGGACACTTGTGACGCCCTCGGTCGCCTCTTACGACCCCCACGGGCATGTATGGGGAGGCGACAATGTATTCTTAAGCCGTCGCCCCACGGCTAAAAATCAATTAGAAAGGGGGTCCAGCCCCCTTGGTTGGAGTCCCCCTGTCGGCCACAGGCGATTATGGGTGGGGCCAGCATCATAATAAAGGTTTATGGCATTATCTATTATGCTATGTTATAGTTTATGAGTTTTGATAACGTGCCCTTTTAGCCTAATATAAAAAAGTGGATAACGGTTTTGGTAATCTGTCTACATTGTAATCGTCATATTTGAAAGCTGTAGTCAAAATCATTTATTCCATAGGTAAAATACTAAATAATCTATACTTGAATACGTCACATTTGAGCTACTGCTCGTTCACTACGCTGACCTCCCTGAGAAGAACGAGCAAGAAACTTTAGGGATTGCTCTTTTCAAATAAACTTAAATGCTATGGAATACACTTTGAATCAAATTTGTGTGGATTGTCTTTCCATACACGTTTATCTAACACGTAGTCTTCAATTTTGTAATATGACTGTTCAATCTAAAATCATAGCAAGCAACTGTTCACGGGCCTCCTCTAAGGAGAGGTGTTTTTATGATACCAAATAACGAGACGAGCAACACCTGGTGGTAAGCGACACGCCTGTCCATAACAGTTGTAGTGCCAGTTAAAGCTTTCAATGGTGCGCCCGTCACCCTGAGACATAAGTTGAAAGTTCCATGTGTTTTAATTTCACCTTTACAGTCTGCAACGCAGTAATGCTGAGATTATTGCTTGACAGTAGAAATAGGTAAGTGTGACAGTACTTCCCTGGACGAATTCTTTAACAAGGCTCTCTACGGCTACTAAATTTGTCCATTTGCTTTATCTAAATGACTAACACATATAAAGATGTTGTTTGTAATTGTGACCTACGCGGCTTTCTAATATACTCCAACCCTTTCAGAACAAAAGCCGCCCCTGTTATTTAAATTAATTAATAACTCAGGGCGTGTGGCTTATTACAAATTATGTTTTAAGGAATTTAATTGTATTTTTTCATTACTAATGATGACGGTTATGGAAGTTAATTAATGTTTTAACAAAAAATGGAGAATTAAATATTTAATCAACGATATTGTCGTTTGGGTAGCTGTAAAGTTGCCGGAGTGTGAAAAACTTTCATAGATTTCTCACAGCTAGCAGAAAAAAGCCGTTAAGACTGTAGCGTAGCCTAAGTTAGAGTAAAGGCGAAGGCTCGGTCTACATAAATTTATTAGAAAGGGAAAATAAAGGCTGCAACAAAATGACGCAATGCTAAAAAAGGTACACATCTTTTAAAACACTCCCTACTACTAACATACTCCAAGAGCGCTAGTTTCTTTATATATCTAATGCTCTAAAATGCACGTCCTCTAGCTTCGAGAATTTTGATGAAAGTGATGCGGAACGAACCAATGTATATATTCATCAATTGTTCTTTTAAAATTCACCCTGTATTTACAATATTTATTAGTATTATTTTAATATAAACTTTTTTAATAATTCTGCGTTTTTTATTACGACACAATCAATATAATTTAAATGTAGGTACTAATTTGTAATACAATTATTTATGTTGAACGTAATTATTAAATTAGTACACTCTGTCACGTCATGCTATTTTTTTAAGCTTCTGTGATATTCTGTAATTGGCATTTATATACTGGTTTTTTTAAATTTATTTCTTAAGTTTGAATTATATGCTGCTGGATGTCCTTTAATAAATAAATAAATTAATTAATTTTGTAAAATTTTTTAACAAACTATTTATTAGACGGCCTAAGGCCAGAATGTTTACTTTTAGTTCCCTAAAAATCCGCTAGATGGCATTGACCCATTTGGCGTTATTTCTGAATCACGGTGTTAAGATTTTCTCTCGAATGGTGACTACTTGAACACAATTTTGTTTATGTTGAGAGAAATCGGGGAATACCTAGAGCTCAGTTAAGCTGTTAGCAGGAGTTGAGTTCCTTCTGATATTGACGTATGCTCGTATAGGGTGAGAGTCATTGTCTCGCGGAACGTTTCCAGAAGTCGAGTCCTTTCTTGGGAACAATTGCCCGGATCATCCGCATGTAGGGTGAAATTGTGATTGACGGAAATAAACCTTTTTCTGACAACAACTTGGGAGTTTTAACTTGGCTGGAGCTGCATAGCCTCGGCCCGCGGCAGAGAGAAACTCCCTCCTTTACAATTTTAATTTCAATGATACTTTGAAATCCCCGACGCATTCTGTTTTAAAAATTGTGCACAAAATCTGTTATTAATTTGTCTTTTTTTGTTCTCAGGTCCAAGAAGTAGAAGGATGAAGAAAAAGGCGAACACTGAAGAGAAAAGACCACGTACTGCTTTCAGTGCAGCGCAGCTTGGAAGACTAAAGGTAATTAATTACAATTATTTTATTATATTATATGTAACAAGTCTGTAGGCAGGGAATTCCAGTCATTTGCCGTTCGCCATATAAATGTGGAAGCCTACGTCTAGTCAAACGATGATGGAATGGGGAAGGCGGATTTAAATCATGCATTTTTATCGCACACTCTCCGTGAATACTGATAAGCAGGTAGCTTTACGGTGGTGTTCAAGGCTCTGCAGCTTAGCCTCTATGAATTCCGAGTCACCTTTAGGCTTAAAAGCCTCTTGCCACGCTTTTCAAATAAAATCAAATCATTTATTTGGCTTATTCTGACTGACACTGTAACTCGGTAACTGAACCCGCGGCTCAGACGTGTAGAGAAATACTACGGCGCAGCATGGACGTGGTTTCGAGTCCGGGTCGACGTAATTTTTCTGTATGTTCGATCTCCGTATTCATAATCATTTTATAAATTACTTTTGAAACTTAGCATATAATCAATTAAACGTTCCACCTTTAGAGTAAACTTTTATTTGGACAATAAGTTAATAATTTTTTTTATTCTTCCCTTAGCACGAGTTCGCTGAAAACCGCTACCTGACAGAACGTCGGCGGCAATCCCTAGCAGCAGAGCTGGGTCTAGCAGAAGCTCAGATCAAAATCTGGTTCCAGAACAAACGCGCCAAACTCAAGAAGGCTTCTGGGCAGAGGAATCCATTGGCTCTGCAGCTGATGGCTCAAGGTCTTTATAACCATACTACAGTGACTGAAAGTGAAGACGAGGAAGAGATCAATGTAACGTAAAGAAGTTCTCCGCCAATCCGCATTTTTATAAAGATAGCGCAAAGTCGCGAGTATTGTTAATAGTAGATAACGTGTCAACCTATTGCTTGTAATTTAAACATTATTCAGATTTGTATATAGATACAAGTTATCCTTCAGAGGACTTGACCATACTTATGCGCAGGTCACACCGCGAACGAAGCTAAGCTAGCTATAGATTAGGATCTTTCATACTTCGGTTCACACTAAGCTAACCAAGGTATCTTTTTTTTGTATCTCCGCCACAGGGGCAGCGGAGAAGTTATAGCGGACTTCTACCAGCTAAAACCCCACGGTGGCCTTCTCGGGTGCCCTAGTGGGAAGAATCCGGGATCAACTTGGCGCACCGGAACTCCCTCAGCACCTAGGTCTCCCGGTCACGCTCGGCGACCTCCTTCTGAAGCATCACCGCTTCACAGAAGGAGACTACTGCCTCATGAGACTCTTGAAATAAGTCGCCCTTCTGCCGCCCTTCACTTCCGCGCATATCCATAGTCACTACTTACTACGTATTTTCTTAACTTAGTTTTGCAATGCAACTACGTGAGATGAGCTAAGTTAGCTAGCATCGTTGGCGGTGTGGCCTGTGCTTTATATTCAACGTAGTAACTTTGATGCAATTAGCTTAATAGTCATCCTAAGCCATTAATAATAACTGTGTAAATGATGTTATAAATTTTGTAAATATTTCTCATTTACAATTTTTTTTTTCATAAATATGTAAACATTATGGTCAATATAAATAGAATAAACGTCTTGGCAATTTATATAAATTTCACAGAGAGTAGAAATAAGGCAATTAACCATAGTAAGTTAAAAAGTTCTTGTAGCTAATAACGTAGAGGCAAAATAGTAAAATGTTCCTGACTTGTAAATAATATTTTTTAATGTATTTATTTGATTAATTTTACATTTAAACGTTAGCTCGTTTATTAAATTGTTTCATTAAGTTTCAAAATTTAAAAATAAATCACACCACGTGCTATACACATTATTAATGTAGATATTATTTTTGAATAGTCACATACTTGCCACTTGTTTTCCATACACACAATATTAGTTTTTTTTCAAAAGCTTTGTTTTGAAAATATAATTAAGATGCGATATGATAACCAAATAGATTCTAAGAAATTATAGAAAACGTAATAAATTAGAACTTGGCCTGTGTACACTGCCGTGCGCATTTTTCAGATTAACGTGGTTTGAGAATATGAAAATTTAATAATATTTTATGTTTTTGTGTATACATTTCTTTCTTATTTTTCTAAAAGTTTATGGTTTAGTCAAGCAAGTCTCTTCCAATTTGTTTATGTTTATATTAAAAGTAAATAATTTTGTAAATATATATTTTATTTTGTAGTTTATTTCTCTGCTGACTGTGCTAGTTGTACTTGTAAAAAATAATAAATTATATCTCTGGTTTATAAAATATTTTGTTGTTTTATTCCTTTTATTACGAAGTTCCAATCTACATGACCAATTTCATAAGACCGAAACTCGTATACTTGGTGAAACATTGGCATTGACAAGGGTGCTGATGAAATGACAGGCGTATGGGACTTGTCAACTTGCGTCTCACATTGATGGGCGCAGTAGCAATGCCCCTCAGACTTTTGTGATTTAAAGCTCTTGATGGCACTTCAACTGCAACGGACAGGCGTGTGACTTACCACTATAGTACCATAAAAAAATGGAATAGAATAGTATAAGTTTTATTGCACACAAAATAAAAAACAGTGACAATACAAAAAAGATAAAACATAGTTAAAAGTACAATCGGCGGCCTTATCGCTAGACAGCGATCTCTTCCAGGCAACCTTACAAATTATTACGGAGCTTTAGGTGAAGGGCAGTTAATGGTGCACAAAGCAGCTAAACGATTTACAAATAGAACCGAATACTTTTTTAAACAAACTTCACAAAAACGTATTACATGTATATTATAACGTAGCAATGTGTATTGCTACATATCAAATATATTACAATGTATACATGCAATATATATAAAACTGCCAATGCATATACTTTATTACTTTTTTGAAATTAGAAAAACTGAACAAAGAAGCAGTGATCGTGATAGTGATGAAAGAGACTCAGTCTTTTAAGGCCTTTTAAAAAACCTCGACTAATTTTCAACGCCTCACGTCTAGTCTAGTCTTGTAACCCTCAAGTCTTGAGTCATAAGACTAAAACTGAAAACTAATTCGATTCAAAGTCTTTTAACTCTAGGAAGCTTAAAAGACTTATAGGACTAAAACGACTGGCGCCTCATAGCCTCGGGAGTCGCGAGTCATGAGCCGCATGGCGTGATTTTATTTCTACCCACAAGGTATTTATTTTACGATTTTTATTATAAGTAAATAAATGTGATTATTTGCTACATACTACTTACGTCATTTTTATTTATAAACTTCGGGTTTAATAAGACATAAAATAGGTATAAGTCCTTTGCCAACAACTCGAGTCGTTTAAGTCTTTCAAGTCGTTCAAGTCTTTTGAGTCTTTTAGTACAACGACTGAGTCTTATTAACAAGAACCTGAACCTCCAGTCTTAATTTTACAGTCGAGTCCTGTAAAATGGAGTCGAATCGTTATAAAACGCCTTAAAAAACTGAGTCTCTTTCGTCACTAGATCGTGAACCTTCTTCTGCGGACAACAAATTATTAATCATGAAAATTAATGACAAATGAGACAATAATGTGTTATTACTTTATTAAAAGTTTTGTTCTTTATGGGTTCTTTATAGAAACGTTTGTTTCTTTAAGAGCTTAAATCGCAAAGAGATCTGCGGGACACATCCTCTGCGCCGGTCACCCTGAGGCTTAAGTTGACAAGTTCAATTTGCCTGTAATTTCATCAGGGTCCTTTTCTCTTCAAATTGGGAACATGGTAATAATGCTGACATTACTGCTTGGCGGCAGTACTTCCCCGGACGATCTCTTTCAGAAGGAGCTCTACTGCTATAGTCTGTCTTTTTTGAAGACTGAGTAAAATGACATTTGTAGGGTTGTCAGTTTTCATAAAATTTTAAATAGTTATGTGGTGTTGTCATTGACTTACAATTATATGGACGTCGGGTCCGCGCTAAAAAGTGTCCGAACTTATAGGGCGTTAAAATCGTATACAGAGCGTATTCACGCTTTAGTCTTTGTTTGTTCGACTGACAGCGAAGCAAGCAAAATTAGACAGTACTGCGATGACATTACAATTTAAATTCAACGTTTTAGCTTTTTCATATTCCTTTAAATGTCACTACGTTTAAATAAGTTGACTTGGGACATTTTTTCGTGGTTTTTGTATTAGACCCGTCGTCCATTTATTTGTAAGTATATGGGTGTTGTCGATAATTTTATCGATAGATTGTGAAAGAAGATAATATTACGCCAAAAATGACTGCATTGAATTTGTGAATTTTGAATTGTGAATGTTACGACGTACTAATGATTACTAGCTGCATTACTGCCTTGTCTATTGTTTTTTTTTTATTTGGCCTACCAGTACCAATTTTTATTCATATACTTACATTTTAAAAAGAATAGCTGGATTTGATTATCTGTTTTGAATTAAAATGAAAAACTTTAAAATGTATCTCCTCTTTGCATTTTACACATAGTTCTAAATACAGTATGTATTACAAAAATTGACAATTCAAATGAACTTGTGCTCAGTAATTGGATGAATAATAAGGTCGAGTATTATTGAAATGAAACAACTTCGTTGTATTTATTCCATAAGTGTGACCAATATTCAGTCTAAAGTCGATAGAATATTTATCGACAGCAATCACTAGCCGCTCGCAAGCGGGCAACAATTTTACACGATGATCTGTCATTTTACCCTATCTTCAAAAAAGACAGATTGTACTTAATTCTAATGTTACATTCTAGTAACGCATTACATATAGAGCCATAGAACAAGTTAAAGTTTTTCATGAAAATAATTATTTCAAAAATAACCATAAATATCGCTAATATTAGTTTGAATACCTCGATGGCCCAAAGGTTTGCACTGTCGGCGCTGCATGATGAGATCCCGGATTCGATTCCCTGTAGGACTAATTTGGTAAATTCTTTTCTAAATTGGTTCTGGTCTGGGTGTTTAGTGAGTAGTGCCCTTTTTTAGAGAATTGTGTTGCTTTGGTGTTCGTAGTACAGGGAATTGTGTGGTTTGAGACTAGGCAATTGGTGTGACTGTCTGGTACATTATTATTATATATATATCAATATAAATATCAGTAAAAATTGGGACAGAAATTACCAAAATACAAACCCGACCTCAAAAGTAGCTCTGCGTGGCAGAGCAGCATGGAAACCGTTCGTCCTCGGAGGCAGTTCAAAGTTTAAGAGCGCTTTCATATGAGACGCCTGTAGAAGCACTTTTCGGTTTTTAACGACTTTTTTGTCGTAACGCAAGTAGAGCTCCTTGTGAAAGAGTTCGCAGGGAAGTACTGCCATCTTATATATTTCTGCCGCCAAGCAGTAATGTCAGCATTACTGTGTTCCGGTTTTGAAGGGTAAGGGTGCTGGTGAAATTACAGGCACATGGGACTTGTCAACTTATGTCTCAGAGTGACGGGGGTGAGCTGGACCGGCGTGTAGCTTTCCATCAGGCGCACGACTTGTTCGTCCCGGTACTTAATATTATAAAAAAAAAAACTATTTCTTCGAAAAAATAAATTTCTTGCAGATGGTGCTTTTTTAATTTTAATTTGATGGTGCTACGGCAAAAAAGCCGTTAAAAGCAAAAAAAACAAAGATTAGCAAAGAAGCACACTGAAAAATTCGTAAGGTCTGGTAGTACATTCGGTGGCTTAGTTGATATAGCGTCTGGCATGGTTTTCTAGAGGACATTAGGTCGAATCCAACCGGATCGATGGAATTTTTTCTTACTGTTCGATCTGTGTATTAATAATTGTATCTGTTAAGCTTATTATATTTCTCACTCTTTCTCTTTTGCACACTCAGCTGATACCAGCAGAGCAAAGGTGGCAGCAATTCTGGGCACGTTGGCACAAAGAGTACCTTGCCGAGTTACAGCAAAGAAGTAAATGGCATGTGGATAAAGAGTGTCTTAACATCAACGATATCGTCGTCATTAAGGAGACGAATGTTCCGCCAAGTGGCGTCTAGGACGTATATTAAAGCTCTATCCAGGAGTGGATAATCTTTACAGGACCAGGCACCATACGACGAGGCGTCCGCAAGGTGTGTGCCTTACCCAAATCTGAAGCAGCCTTTTTTATTCTCGAGGCTCTTCCTCCTCGAGAAGGGGCAGTATATCAGCGCCTTCTTGGACGCTGTGGCTGCTGGCTACGATGGCTTGACATTTACTATTATTGATTTTATTTTGTTCTAACAAAAATGACATATTTTCTGTTTATTGTAAGAAATTGCAAAAGAAAAAACTTCAGATTTACACAAATAATGGAGTCTTATTTATCGGCGTTAACAAGACTTGTTCTCACTGCCCTGGGTTGGCTGGAAGAGATCTCTTTTAGAGTTAAGTACACCTTTGCTCACCTTCTCTATAATTATTTCTTTACCACACGCAAAATAGGCGCCTTGACGTCGAGTTGCGGACACCAGGCAGTTAAACCAAGTACCAGGTACCAAGTTATTTCTTTCCAGTTTTTTTTATATTTCTTTTTCACCACAGTTTCGAGTATAATTAGTTAATGGATACAACTAAAAAAGGTGGCTGCAAGTCGTTAAATTATAACCAGCTTTTTTATAAAATGTGAAAATATTTCACGTCGAACATTAAACAAAATTATTTTATTGTACATCCGGAAATACGTCACAAAATGGTGCAAGATATAAAATGATGCATTACGGCAATATTAGTTGATATTTGTGTTAATAAATCAAAACTGTATCAAAACGGGTGTTGTAAATCAAGCGAGACGGTAGGAGAGAAAAAGGAAACAATATTTAGTTTAAGGATGGAGGATAGCTTATTAGTTCAAATCCCTTTCAGGTGACAAAAATGACGTCGAATTTTGGTAAGTATTTTTTTTTATTAATTTCATTTTTACATGATTCTATCGGAGGAACTACTGAGAGCGGTAGTGGTCAAAAGGTCGTATGAAAACACTTGTGAAATTCCAGCATCAGGCCAGTGTGACAACAGTCTAAGCAATACCTAAACCAAAAGAGACTAGTGCCCGATCACTAAGGTATTTTATAGTTTTTAGTTTTATTTCAAGACACTTTAGAGCATGATTGTATCCATCAACAGGAAGGATTTTTTTAATTTACAATATCAATCGTATAGAACCTAAACTATAGGCACCGACTTCTT